GAAGTTTAGTACAGATTTTCTAAACGGTACCTATTTTAGCTTAACAAATTCATATCATTTGATTTAATATTTGTCATTTTTAGGTTGTGAAACTTCCAATTCTTGTTGAGACACTGTTTTAAAAAGATATATTAAATTTTATCTGGCAGGTGGTAGCACTGTCTATGTAGGGATAACTCAGATTGTTCTTTGAAATGGTATTTTAAATATATTTTCAATAGATTATCAAACTTTACAATACTAGATATTTTACCTTTTATAACAATATATATGTAATTACTGAGTCAAATTCTGGAAATCTCTAAATATCATAGCAAAAAGTTTGAATTTCTTGTTCTTCTTTATTCTGCATCTTTTTTGTATTACATGATAATGCAAAAACCAAAACAGTTTTGTTAACCAATTTCACTGAGGTGACAGTTTCACGTGGAGTATCTGCTTTTATAAGTATTATTAAGAACTAATAGCAATAAAAATCAACAACATAATTCTAGTGTAAATGGTGTTATCATTACCCCTTGAAGCTAGTTTTCTTAGAGAAATATGGTGTTTCTTTAAAAAGCTTTAAGTACAGGGTGATAAAGGAACTACCAGCCAGTAATAAATAAAGGATGAATATTACTGTTGTTAGAACATGGTTATAAATACAACCTTTCTATGTCTATTGAAATGCTGCATTAAAAAAAACAAGCAAAGAAAAAAAACTTTTCAAAAAAGAAAATAAATATATGGATGGTTAATATCAGTTGTTCAAAAACAATGCATACAAGACAGTAGGGATTGTATTTGTGTCATCCCTACATAATAGCACAGGCAAGAATTAACATATAGCGAATAGCAATATATATAACTATTCAATCACAGTTGAGTTTAATTTATCCTATATTTGGCTGTTAACATTCTAATACTCTATGTGCCTGTGCTATTATGTAGGGATTATGCAAATGCCATCCCTACTGTCTTGTTTGCATTGTTTTTGAAGGACTGATATTAGCCATCTCTACATTTACTTCCTTGTTTGAAAAGTTTTATCTTTACTTGTGTATTTTTGATCAGAAAAATCCATTCTGTATATGCAGTCATTTTCAATGTTTGGTGTTCATCAAAATATTCTTTTTATATTTTATTTTGCTGATTGGACTATTAATCATAAAGAATTGGGAAGACTGAAAGGTTAATCAGTGATCTAAAACCTCTGTTAAATTTAAATTTTATTACATTGACTTAATTGGACTAAGGTATCATGCTTTTTCCCACCATTATCGGTTTGAATATAAAACATAAAAATATTCAATAGAAAAATAATTTGAGTCACCTGAATATTTTGGTCATTTATTGTCAAAGAAGAAAATTCCCACAGCTTCAAACAGATATAATGTAACAAAAACATTTACAGCAATGAAAAGAACTTTGAAAGAAGCTAAAAATATTCTCAGATATATGGTGTTTTTCTTGTGAATGTTACAGTAGAATCATTTGTTCACCCTATTTAGAACTCTGGTTAGCCAATATGTTGGCAAATCACAAATTACTGCTAAAACCACTTCATTTCTCTGTATTTATGTAAATAAACTAGAATCATTTTTAACCATTTGATCTAGTAGTTAATAATTGTGTTGTAACATAAAAGGGTGGAATCAAAAGGCTGTTGTAATAAACCCACTGAAAGAGGAGAGAAGTCACATGAAAAACAAGACATGAATAATTAAATTTTCATGGGATGGTGGGTTTATAGTAAATATTAACCTCTAATTTGGGATGGGCAGAAAATGTGAAAAAAATGCATTATTTACAGGTGTTCCTTGGAGCTGTGCAGAAATGAACATTGAAACTTTGTTCATTTTTATTTCAGAATTACATTAAATTTATCTTATATATTAATAAAATATTGATTCTAAAAACTTTTGAGTAAACATTTGTTGAAATTAAATTATAGTTTTTACTTGAATTTTAAGATTTGATTTACATGTGTGAACTTGACATTTGAAAGGTACACACTAGTCATTATATGTATAATAATATAAAACAGTTTCTGTAAAAGTAGGAGCTATATTAGTGGTGCCTGCATCCATTTATGCACTTTCATCTACACTGATCTCCACTTCTTATGATAAGGTCTCACTGAAAATAACCTTTGACTACATAAACAGTGCTGGCAGACAAGCCATGTTGATATTTTTGTGGTATTAAGGTACATCGATGTCCAACAGATACCTGCAGTGCACAGTAGATTTAGAAAGTGTTAAGCAGAGAATAATTTCAAACAATAACAACAAAGGGAAAGAAGCAGACACAAGTGAATGGATAAAAATACAAAAACATTATCTCACAGATTATGCTGTGAAACTGGAGTTTTTTACAAGGATGACTGATTTTTATGTTTATTGTGTAGAAACACACTGGCTGCTAAAGCTGTCAGAAGCATATCTACATGAGACAAAAATAGGAATGGGTATGAACCATTCCCTTAGCTAAAGGATTAGAACAAATTCAGGAACTTTATATGTCCTTATACAAGGACACCATTAACTATATGCAAAACACTTGCATGAAATTTAGAAAAGCTGGATCATGTATACATATATTATTTCAAATTAGGGATGGGTGAAATCCAGCAATTCTTTCAACTGTGACATCATCATTTGCTAAACAGCTAGAATTTTGTATTGATTTAAGAGATGCTTTTAAAACATATTGCTTCAGTGAAGTAAAGGCAAGCAAGTATAAGCTCTGTAGAATAACCTACAGTGTTTTGTAACCTTAGCCTTCAGTGAGTTCACAATGACAATAAAAACCTATAAGAAAACTTAAAAATATTCTTAAACACATCTGAGTAGAGACTATTCTTTTTCTAATTAAAGAAATGTAAAACCTAGTAACTTTTAACTGCTTACTGGGCTTAGGGCTGAGCCACATAAGCTTTTTAATGCCATCAGGCTTGGTTGTATATGTAATATAATAATATTACCTATGATAAGTTTGGCTGAGTATATTTCACTACTTTGTTTATCAAGGTTATACAACTGTAAGCTTAACTGTGGTTCAGTTTTATATTCTTTCATGTATCAAAACACACAAAACTTGTTACTCTTGAACAAAGTGAAATTTTAATAAATTATTTTCTGTTCTATCCATGATGACACAGTTTATTGTCGAACACCATGACTTTGTTCTGGGCATGTTTGTTGTGTCCGTATTGCTATGCTAATTAAAGTTTTGCTTGTTGAAGTGCAGCATCGCAACCACAAAATTTCATGCTAACAATGAAGTTGCACCTTCCCCTTTAACAAGCTACTATCACCATCTAACCATGATATTAAAGTTCAGTTAAATAATTTAAACAGTTTTTTGTTATTATTGTTGTTTAGATATAACAGGATATCAATTAAGCCTTGTTTTTTCTCTAATACTTGATGAATCTTTTACCATCACCATTCCAAGAATATTAAGATACTGCTCTAGTAGAATTAGATATAAATATTGTATTAATGGTTTCTATCATTGGCAGATTTTTCTTGATTATTCAGCTATTCCCACTTAATTATAATTAAAGTGATTTATTTTCTTTAACCATAGTGTACAGGGCTATCTCATAAATAAAACTAAACAGTCACATACTTGCAAGCTCTACTTTGTTGACACACAAATTCAAAATGTACAGCAAAGAACTGGCTAACTCACTGACTGATTCTTTATTCAAAATGTACAGCACGGAACTAGCTAACTCACTGACTGATTCTACTTCAAAATGTACAGCACGGAACTGGCTAACTCACTGACTGATTCTAATTCAAAATGTACAGCACAGAACTGGCCAACTCACTGAATGATTCTAATTCAAAATGTACAGCACAGAACTGGCCAACTCACTGAATGATTCTAATTCAAAATGTACAGCACAGAACTGGCTAACTCATTGACTGATTCTATAAATGATCAACTCACTCAGTCACTTTGGTATTTTAATATAATATTTGTTTTATCCCAAGGCTCTATAAAGTTCAAACCATAACATACATGCTGTGTCAAATCTAAACCCACAGGAAATTTCTTGGTGTCATGCTTCATTCCAAAATTCCCCGTAACAAACTAAACAAAATTAATATACCAAAAACATAGTCTAAAACAATATTTTAATAAGTATATTTACAAATGATATGGGATCAAGTACCACAAAAATTTGGAAAATATTATGAACTTTCATTTATCCTTTCTTTTGTTTTGAAAATACATTACAAAATGCTAGATTAAGTTTTAAAATTTTTCTGTGATCAATGTTAGGTTAAGTTTTGACATTTTCAAACACACACTTTTAAGCAGTCCAAAATAAATTAATCTAATTTTCCTAAACTTTTTTTTTATTTGTCTAACATTATATGGTGTAATCTACATAGTCTTATTTATAATATAAATATTTGAAAAATGTAGGAATTTCATGTTTCTGTCTAGTTAGTATTTGCAGGTTTGACCAATCATAGATATAATATGAAAGATATAATAAACTTATGAATCAATTTTTATTATTAGCAAACATGTCAATATTTGTATATGCAAAGCATTCGTATTTCAATGGCAACAGGAAATTCTTAAGGATAGAAAACTTGACATTTATGCGAAAAGTTGTAAACAGCATCCATAACTTTTATATTTATAATGGAAGAATACATAAATCTGCTAGTGTTCTAAAGGCATCTGGTAATTTTTCACTATTTTTCTTGGATTTGATAAAATTTACTAGCTAAGAAAAGGTTTTGTGATAAATGTATTCGTGTATTTACTTAGGTAGGCAGAAAACTACGAATAATTTCCAAAGCTCAAGTGAATTCAGTTTAGTAGGAAAATTAAAAAAGGGATTTCTCGTGTACTTAAGACAAAACTTGTTACTTTAATGAAAAGATTCATAGAGTAACATTAAAGATAACATCTTTCAAATAAAGTTAGATTCTAGTAGTATCTGTAATGATTTAAGATTAACCATTCTCTTTTTTAACTTCTCCAAGGTTATTTATAGATACGTATGCAGAGATATATATATTGGATCCACTGTACATCTTATGAGCTGATAAGAGAGCACTCAGACAGCAGAAATAAGGAAAGTCTCAGAATAGTCTAATGTGTGGAATAGTTGTTGCCAAAACGACTGAATTCTTGATCATCAGTTCAGTGGGAAGTGAGTACCAATTAAGGATCACAGAAAGTTTGTTGATTAAAAAAACTGAAGCAGGTGTCCAAGTGCCCAGAAGCTATTAATTGAATTGTATACCATTTATAACATTGTGTATCAAGAACTGTATATCCTTTAGCCAAAAGTAGGACCTGTTATTATAATGAAATTCAAACAGAAGGAAAATTTATTTTGGTTTGAAATGAATTGTACTACTTTTTTTTGTTTTCAAATGAACAGTGATTTACTATTAAGTTTAACCTTGAGTTCCTGAGACTTGTGAAGATAAAAATGTTTACAGTGTATCTTATTAAATTATCTGTTTAATGTATGTTAGAGGCATTTTATGTGTGAATTTTAATTTATTTATTGAAGAAAAAGAGTGTGTTAGTTTTAAGGACTGTCATTTTGTCATCAAAACACCAGTTGACTTGTAGCATTCTAAGAGTTTAAGGGCTATGTTTTCTGTTTGCAAGGGCCCTAAACAATGTTTAAGGTAAAGTAGAAACCTTAAGTGCTTTAAAGTTGAATCATTTTTGATAGATTTATCAGCTAAGATTGTGATATTGCTATTTTTTGGTTTCTGACTTGAATATTTTTTTAAGGTTACTATGACACTTGTGGAAAAAAATGTTTAAATACTTTTCCAACCATTTACAAACAAACATGTTGTTTTACTTGAAGTTCTACTGATTGAAGATTAAAACACTAATGGTTAAAATTGTTAAAAGAACAACAAAATCAATAACTGAACTAGACTAAACAATGTTATAATTGTGTGTAATTTGTAAAAACAAACATAAATGTATAGTTTGAATTACTTCTATTTTTACTTCACCCCAAATAATTTACTTTTTTGTGTTTTGTACAGATGTCCATGTCA